GAGAGAGAGAGAGAGAGAGAGAGAGAGAGAGAGAGAGAGAGAGAGAGAGAGAGAGAGAGAGAGAGAGAGAGAGAGAGAGAGAGAGAGAGAGAGAGAGAGAGAGAGAGAGAGAGAGAGAGAGAGAGAGAGAGAGAGAGAGAGAGAGAGAGAGAGAGAGAGAGAGAGAGAGAGAGAGAGAGAGAGAGAGAGAGAGAGAGAGAGAGATATTGATATTTATATGTATATATATATATTGCTTCCGCTATATTGATACAATATCAGAAAGCACTCTTTTTTGCGGATATAATAGTGTGCGCTGATGAAAAGATCATATCTTTTATTTCACGGATTTTTTAAAAAAAATTTATCCTTTTTTTCCCAGTTGTTTGTTATTTTATAATTATTTTTTTTTCCTTTCCCTCCTTTTTTCATATGTCTGCAAATTTCCTTTGTTTTATCTTCATTTTGAACTTTTTTATATAAAGTATGTGTTATTAATATTTGTGCAGGATTTATATGTATTCAGATAGATATGAAAATTCCGTACTCAATTTTAGCGTCCAAAAAATTAGCAGCATCGTTTTTCTTTATCTTGAATAATGAACTGTTTAAAAATTCATAACCCATTAATGTTACTTTCTAATGCTCATTATTTAATGTTATGTTTTATATTATTATAATCTGAACAGTGGGAGAGTGGGGTGAAACAGGGTAAGACCAGGTACCCCGATTGGGTAGTTCAATTTTTTAGTGGAAAATTCTGCATTACAATCTAGTATTCAAAGAGAAGGATCTACCATATTGTGGAGTAATTTATTGCGTCTGGGTAGATAAGCTTGTTTTACTACTCCAACATTTTATTGATCTTATTTATTAGTCATTAGAGTTATCAAAATTATTTTTAGTCCGGCTTATTATACGCTTACTAATGATTCATAACCTAACAAAAAATAGGGAATTAGTCCACTAGTAGCACAGTTCTGCTTCATTTCGATACGCTCTACTCTTAGGATAAGACCGGGTGCTACTCAGTCTTGCTTTCTCCCCTTCATGCGCGTCTATCCTGGGCTCGTGAAAGCTGCAGTGCAGCAGAGGAAGAAGATAATTACACACATCACCCATATAAATTACATGCATGATTTTCTTAAACTGCCATATAAAATAGAACTGCTTGTTTCTTTTTCCGAGAAATTCTAGTATTTCTAAATTTCTTATAAAGTTATTTAAAATATTTACCTAGTCTTACCCTACTAGTGGGTAAGACTGGGTGTTATCTATATTTTTTCTGCAAAAAAATCAGGTATTAAAAAATTACATTTATGACTTTTTAGGACTGATATAGTGTACACAATGAAACAATAAATGTCTTGATTAAATCTGACAGTTTCTATGTCGAGCAATTAAGCTCCAACAGATCTTCAAATCTTAGGTACTCTATTTTACCCTGCTTTTTCCTATTTAAGTTAAGATATGTATGAAAATAATGTATTCAACTTAGTTGTCTTGAAAATAAAAAGCCATTTTTCTCTCAGTATGTTGAATGAACTGACTTAAAAATAATAATTCATTAGCAATCAATTTTATTTTCTAATTCTCTTTATTTTATATTATAAATCAATTATTAAAGTTTCTACAAGTACTGGATACATTAAGGTACATTTGAATATTAATTTCATTTCATTTCCCACTGTTATAAAACTGCGTAAACCTCAGCCTAAGTATAAAATTATTTTAAAAATACAAATTTATTTATTGTCAATTTTATTTTCATAACCTTAGAATGCTAGGAGTTCTACCTTACATTACATTATTCAGAATGTGGTGAATTCTATACATAGTTATTTCCGTGTGTATTTTTGACATAAGAAATGCATCAATGAAGGGGGGGTGGAAAAAAATAATGGGAACGCTGCTATGCTGATACATTTTTTTCGTACTCCTCAAGAAATGCTTAAAAAATCATTTTATATCTTCAAATTTGCTTAGATCATGCGATTTCTCGCACTTATCAATGAGGTTTAAAGATTTTAGAAGCTTCAGGAACCTACAGTACATTACAAACGGAAAATAATGTTTTCCCCCACCCTATGCTAAATAATATAGCAATAAATTTATAACTTGCAACAATTATTTCGGTCATTATATGCAATAATTGCACAAAATTTCGTAAGCCTAGCTTTAATATTTATGGAGATATGAACATTTTTATTAAAAAAAACTAGTATCACGTTCTTTTTTTCCTTTTTTTGCTCTAACTTTAAAAATATTCAATAAAACAAAACAAAATTTCTAGAACAATTTAAAATTAATTGCTAAAATATTGCTTTAAAATTTGAGAATTATTGGTTTAAAACTGCACAAGATATGAGTATGCCTGAGTTCCATGCTATTATACTGCGAATGCATGGGAAAATTTTTAAATTGCTTTGCCTTAATTTCATAGAGAATCGTATTTAGCAACTAATAAGAGAAGTCTGATAAGAATATTTTAAACATTTAAAAAGTTTCAAACAATGTTTCAATTAGTTTTCAAATGATAAATGATAAGGAGTTCTCTACCAATATTATTTCGTGTAATAAGACAAAATTAAATAACAAATGATAACACCACAATAAACTTTCATACACCGAAATATGATTCCATAAGGAAAGAAAACAGTCAAAAGCAAAGACACTTTAATGGGGATCCCCAACAATGCAGGCGTCATTTATCTGAAGTTATAAAATAATTCTTTAAGTATTTCTTCAGAAATATGAACAAAATTGTTTCCACTATTTTTTCCACCTCCTGTATTTATTGTCATAGAGTATTATTCTTCTAAATTACTGAATGTTATGGATAAAAACATGAATAGTATCATTATCTTCAAATTAAATATTATCTTATTCCAGTGCCTCTTTCGGATTTTTTCTTTTACTGCTGGTTTTGGCTTCTACAAGGACGGAGGGAAGTGAAAGATCTCGCCAAAATGTTCGAGGTCCGCCTCTATCGTTTGTGGAATGGCTTATTTTCTTCTGGGTCATTGGTAAGTGTACCAACCTTATTTTTATTTTTGTTTATAAGAAACGATTGGCAAACAAATTAATGAATGTTGTTTTTCAGATCAAATTGTCTGGGCAATTTATAGGGTGTCTTTTCCCTTAATTCATTTCCTTTTATGACATAATACACAGTTTACATTTATTTTTAATATCAATTATGTATATCAATTATTTACTTTTATAAAGCTGCGTATTTTTGGAATGAATGATATTATAAAAAAAGGTGTTTAAGATATTGAGACACATTGAACTATCTTATCTAACGAATTAATTATATAAGGGGGACCGGAAAGTAATGTCGTTTCGGTGCATTAAATATTCGTTAGTCTTAATAACCAACTTATGGGTGATTCTTTTGAAACATTTTTCGAAACATTTGGAACAAAAATTTTGGATTAACTGAAAACATTATTTAGAAAAAAATTTCTTCGAATTTAAAGTCCTCCAAACAATCTAATTTTTTTGTATATTTATTTCGTTATATTTGTTGATACCTTACAGACAGCAGTGTAGTTTATTGACATTTTTTCTAGAAAAAAAATTTTAATTCACCAAATTTAGAATGCCAAGAAAATGACATAATGACTTAGAAGTTAAGAAAACAATCATTCTAAGCTAATGGTAAGTAACTCAACTTAAGAAACTCGAAAAGACAAAGTTGAAAAGTTAATTTTAACTTTCTATTTAAATAAATTCCAAAACTAATTGTGAACAATTTGAACCTACCATTTCTTCTCGTCTTCTCGTTTTTTCCGCAATTTATTTTTCCTTGATTGTTTTTAGGCCCCATGCTTTAAAATTACCTAGTAAAATTAATTTTATAGTAATTTACATCTGAAATTTTTTTATTATATTATTTAAATTTAAAATATTTCAAATAATTACATTTTTTTTAATTTAAGCACCCAAGTAGAGTTTAGATTGTACAGAATTTAATTGATGAATGAATTTAATTTTGTACAGAATTAAATTGTACAGTGATGTCCTTAGCTTATCCTCTATATTTTAGCTATCTGTGCTTTGAAAAAAAAACCTAAAGCCTCTGCATTAGATGGACCATGAATTGTTTAAATTAATTCTTTTATCCACTGTAGAAAGAATCAAAAACGTTTTTGTTGTTGATATGTACCTACAGAATAAAATCGTGTATAATAATCAAGCATTAAACAAATAAATAACTTTGATTACATACAAGCATATTAAAATCTTACATAAACTGGGTATTTGGTTAATATTTACTTTCCCTCTTTACATTAGACTGTTTAAAAAAAATTCAGGTGACTGGCATTTATAAGCCAGGGGAATGACAGCCAGGAAAATGACAATTTGCCATTTTACAGCATTTAATTTTAATTTAATTTAGCATTTCGGTCTAGACGTTTGCATTCCGCATAAAACAACAGGATTTCTTGAAATAACTCAGGTAAATCTATGTAGCTAATGTTATTAATGATTTCAATAAGACAAGAAAATGACAGCATAAAAACCTACTCACGCTATAAAATTTTTTGAAATAGATTTTGAACCGGAAAGTTGGTTCTTTATTCCTGAAATAAGACATGTTCTGATAGGATCATATTCTAATCAATCTTTTAACCTAAGATATTGATTGCTGCCGCTATCTATTTTGGTTATAAATTACTAAAAAAAAGTAGAGAGGAAAATGAATGATTTTCATGTGACAAACAAATTATTGTCAGAAAAAATTATTCTCAATACATTTTTTGAAAATAATACCCTTTACATATATTGTAGAAATTCTTACAACGGTTGAGATAAAATGAATTCGATAGTGAAAAATTTATGGGAAGTTTTGAAGCTAATTATTATTGGAAATATTGTTTGTGACATACCAGGAAAATGACATTGTGAAATTCAGTTAAATATACAAAGCAGTCAATGTTAGTGCAAAGTCATTTTAAAGTGCTAACAGCAATGCTATTTACTATTTTCTTTTAAAAAAGTTCTTTTAGTAATATAGTATTAGATCTTGGAGCAAAAGACGGTCAATTGTCGTATTTTGTGAGAATCGCCCTTATATTTTTGATCCATTTCGATTCATTTTCGATTTGAAATTGAAGGGTTGTTGCGCTAACGAGGGTGAATACATTATTGATTAAAAATAAAATCTTGATAACAAATATCAAATGCACCGAAACGGCATTACTCTCTGGTCTCCTTAATATAAAAATGGTGGAAATTATTTTACACTAATAATGCACTGAAAACAAAATAATTGTCAAAACTATTAGAATATGATTAAATTTACTATGCTTCTGGCTCTATAAGAATATCAAAACTCTCGGTTATATTTACAGAAGCGCTTTGGTGATGATTTTCGTAAATTCAGCAATAAAATATGGTTTTATAATAGGTGGAAAAAAAATCTGATAAATGTGCAAAGTTTGATAGTTTTTCCATGATAACTTAGAGCTTAGCATAAAAATCATTTACTCGATTAAATATACTTCTCAATTTTGCATTTTTTTACTAAATGTGTAATAATAAAAACTAAGATTTTAAAAATAAGAATTTCCGGTAAACCATGTGAACGGAAAAATTACCAAATTAATGGTTTAAATAACCGTATATGTTGGTTTTATTTAACAAAAATATGGTGTTTTTATAAGAAATGTCAATACCATAACAATACAGTAAATTAACCAGAACTATTTTCTCCATGTGGTGTAATAAAACAACAAGAATAGTTCTTGGTGTATTAAACACCAAAAAAGATCCATTAGAGTTCTTTTGAAGTAAAGAACTTACCACCAATTTTCGTTTTTAGTAACGCCAAAACATGTGGAAAAAAACATGAAAATAGGATGTAATTCATGTAAAAGACAGTGAATTTATTTATATGATGCAATTTACTGCAAAAACTGTAATTTAGAATTCATACATTTAACGATTCCAGAAAGAAAATTAATATATTTATCATCTATGCTCACATCCCACCGAGAACATAAAAATAAATTCGAATTAGATTTATTGGAACAGAAAAGAATAAAAATTTATTCGAAAATTATTTAATATAACGGAGAAGTTTATGCAAATTATCTTGGGAGAATATAACTAACAATATTTTTTAGCAATAATTGTAAGTATAGATTTTTTTTTTTTTCAGAAATGAAATTCTCGTGAGATTTAAACATTTGCAGAATTCTCATCAATTTATTTAGAAGGATTTTTAATATAAAAATCTCAATTCAACAGCATTTAAACAGACATGAAAAACATTTTCTTTAAATTAAATCTTTAAACCAATTCTTTTGGCAGCAATATCCGTGAATCAATCTATTTAACAGGATTTTTAAAGTAAAAAACTTTATTGAACAGTATTTAAACACACATGAAAAATATTTTATTTAAAATTAAATCTTTAAACCAGTTTTTTTTACAGCAAAATCTCTGACCTTATCTAACAGGATTTTAAGAGTAAAAAACTGAATTCAGCAGTATTTAAACGGACACGTAAAGCATTTTCTTCAAATTAAATCTTTAAACCAATTCTTTTGACGGCAATATCCGGGAGTCAATCTAAATTAGCAAGGTTTTTAAAGTAAAACAAAAACTCAATTCAACCATCTTTAAACAGACACGAATAACATTTTCTTGAAATAAAATCTTTAAACCAAGTAGCAATATCCGTGACTCAATCTAAATTAACAAGGTTTTAAAACTAAAAAAAAGCTCAATTCAACAGTTTTTAAACAGACGCGAACAACATTTTCTTTAAATTAAATCTTTAAACCAATTCTTTTACAGCAACATCCGTGAGTCAATTTAAATTAACAAGGTTTTAAAGTAAAAAAAAACTGAATTCAACAATATTCAAATAGAACATTTTCTTTAAACTAAATCTTTAAACCAATTCCTTTAACAGCAATACCCGTGAGTTAATCTAAATTAACAAGGTTTTTAAGCTTAAAAAAATAAATAAATTTAAAAAATTTTTTAAAAAACTCAATCCAACAGTATTTAAACAGACGTGAACAACATTTTCTTTCAATTAAATCTTTAAACCAATTCTTTTACAGCAATATCCGTGAGTCAATCAAAATTGACAAGGTTTTAAAGTTAAAAAAAAATGAATTCAACAATATTTAAGCAGACGCGAGCAACATTTTCTTTAAATTAAATCTTTAAACCAATTCCTTTAACAGCAATATCCGTGACTCGATCTAAATTAATAAAGTTTTTAAACTTAAAAAAAACTCAATTTATTTATATGTATTTAAGCAAACGTAATAATATATGTAATCTAAATTAATAAGGTTTTTAAACTTAAAAAAAACTCAATTTATTTATATATATTTAAGCAAACGTAATAAAATATGTATTTAAGCAAACGTGAACAACGTAATTCTTTTGACAGCAATATCCGTGACTCAATCTATATTAACATTTTTTTTAAACTAAAAAAAAGAACAAAACTCAATTCAACAGTATTTAACCAGACATGAACAACATTTTCTTTAAATTAAATCTTTAAACCAATTCCTTTGACAGCAATATCCGTGAGTGTTTCAAAGTATTTTCTCAATCCTACAATAACTCCTCCATTTCCCAAATTCTTTTATTTATTTTTCTGCAATTTTTTATCGCGTTTATCCTTTAAGCAAACCAAAACCCTAGGTGGATCTATAATCCAACACCTAATCATTTCCCGATCTAGCGATCGAACTTTCTAGAACTTATATATTCCACAAAGCCCACTTTTCACATTCGAACTGATATTCTTCCCTAAAGCATTCACGTGGCTATTTTCTGAGCAAAAGGGGACAAAAAAAAAGGAAACGTTCAACGATTTTTTTCCCTCAGTAACAACAGGCTGCATCAATGCTCGGTGCCTTATAGGACTCTCATCTGAGTTATTTTTCCCCAAAAGAAATGGCCCCTTTTTTCCAAAAAAATATAGAAAAAGAACTTAAGATAACAGATTTGGCGGTTGTACTTTTTTTCTGGATCATCACTTTTGCAA